CATGATCGCACACTTGTTGTGGTTAAGTGCTAATTGCCATTTTTTGCCTCAGATATTTAGGTGATTGAGGTCGCTTTGAATATGTGATACACTTTCACTTAGTGCGTTAGGCTTAAAGCTGTATACCCTTTTGATATAATCAGCGTATAAGTATGGTCTCCCAAAATTTATGGTGTTACATATATCGTTTATATACATATGAAACAACAGTGGACATAATGCACTTCCCTGGATGACTCCACTATTTATTGGTCTGAGTGATGAGTGAGAGTTATTGTACCTTACCATTTGTTTACGCCACTGAAAACAAGTTTCGCACCACGTTAATAAGTGTTTTTGATATCTCGACAACTTTTTTCATAGCACACGCCATATCATTAAATCGCTCGGCTTGCTCCTGAATCTTAGCCAACGTAATAAGAGAATCTCTGTCCTTGATACTAGATTCATTAATCCAAGGTAAATGTTAAGCTACCGCCGCCTTTACCACTTTTTTTCATCACTCTAGATACCGCAAAGATTATGTTTATGAGCTGATAATTTTCAACATTTGCTTCAGGTTCTGTCTTAGCTTTGGGAATGATATGTGTAGTTTTCCAGGCAGTATTGTAAAACGCTGTAGAGAGTGATATCATAAATAGTTCGAGAAGTGAAACACACAGATCATTATCCCCACATTTTAGCATGCTAACCGGAATACCATCTGGTCCGTCAGTGTAGGAGTGCTTCAGTGTGCTAATTGCATTAAAAATATTCTGTACATTGAAGTCTACATTGGTAATTTTACAGGGAGGTACTGGGATTCGTTTTGATTCATTTAGTGGTTTTTTATTGTTTAATGAAAAACAAGTGTTCACTAAACAGCTCTGTAACAGGCTTAGGATCCTCGGTATTGTATACAGTAAGGTTCCTCAGTTAGTGCTTCTGAAGTAATTTTAGAAGTTTTTCCAATCGACCTTGTGATAGTTTTTACGAAGAGCTACAGTTTTACGCCTACCCGTTGTGGTTTTTATATTAGTGCTATATATAGCAATGTTGTGATCGCTACCTGGGGGTGAGGTCACTGGTACAGACCAAGTTTGTTATATTTTGATGCCTAGTAGGGCTGCTGACATACAGAGTTCACTGTCCAAGCTCTAGACATTCAATAAATGATTTATAACGTTTCTGCAGCCTAACTGTAATACAAGAAATTTCAGGCATGTTGAAATCACCACGAATAAGCTTACCTGTCAATGGAAGGAATGATGCTAGTGTGAATACCTCTGATAAAATTGCTATTTCACATATTGATGCGTCAGGTTGACGGAACAGTAAGGAAATGGAATTCCACAGCTTTAAAACAATGCAAACTGAAACCTGCAGTTTGTTTAGTCTAGCCATATCATATGATACCGAGTTTAGGCAAGCGTAAATAAAGTATACTTCGCCTCGCCCTAACAACTTGTCACTTCGATATAAGAAATAGTTATCAAGAGACATACATGCTCCGGAAATATTACTGTTAGTTCATGCTTCAGATATCAATAAAAGTGATGGTCGATAAATGGATACGAAAATGCTAAATCCATCTTTTTATTACAAATCGACCTAGCGTTAATAAGACATATGCTAGACAAATAGTCTTGATAGTTCAGCTCGTATCTTCGGTTTTGGCTATTTGTGTTAATGTGAACGTGAGAAGTATCTGCTGCACGTAACTGGAAGTAGTTATGACTGTTATTATACATAGAGGCCATTTTTATGGGGTGGGTTGTTACTGAAGGTTGTGGAAAGTTTTCTGTTTGAGAGTAATTGCGTGTGGAATCTTGGAAAATAGAGAGGGGATGTGGACTGAGAAACCTAATATTACCAAACTTATAATTGGTTCTGGACTTTAGGGGACGGATGGAGTGATTGGTAATTTGATAAGTTGTTATTCAGCGCATAGAAACGTTTGTTATGCTGAACCCTACCACCAGTTTGGCTACTTAGAAATACTGGCAGCAAATTATGTAATATCAGCTGGGAGAACCTGTTCACTGTTGTTGGGATACCCATGGAACAGTTTGGTTCAATCTTACGTGTTTTCCTATTAGGTATCGTGGATTTTGTCTCCCACACTTCTCTATCAGAACTGGAGGGTTTCTTTGTCTTTGTGAGATGAATCCCAGTTCATTCTATTTTCTTGTGGAGTATCTTCAGGAGGACTTGTTTTCAAGCGAATAGGCTCAGTTGCAAGTGTGTCGTCACACGGCCCACATTTTAGTACTTTACTGCGCGAACAGCCGGGCTTAATAACGCCATTATGTTTTTCGGTGACAGTCAGGATACGTATCTTATTCAAAGGTTTCTGACCTACGGAGTGATCTGCCCTTTGTGGAGTCACATCGTTGTCATTGTTCATGCGAATTAAATTATTTACAGTGTTGCGAACCGCCTCTAGTTATTTGCTGTAACACTATCTTGCAATCCTATCGCTTAATGTTTTCTTACACGACGTTTACAGAACGTTACCTCTGGAGTGACGTTTATGCTATTGTATGGAACAAGCGTCGAATGTACCACAACTAATCATGTATTCCTTCGATAATTCAGTTATAATCACTTCTATCTAAATGCACAACACTTGTAACCAAACATTCGATAACTCATATTATTTGCATTCATTACTTAACAGTTAGAGAGTTAGAGATTTTGACGGTTGGAACACCCAACTGTGCGGCATGCTCATCCATAGAGGAGTGGTCACTTTATATAACTCCCGTCCTTTCATGTGAAACATATTATTGTATCAACAAGCCAAACGCATTCTTCAGAAGTCTAGATTATTGAATTGCTGGCTGTCATTATAGGATTTGTCGTTGTATGTTACGATACAACTTCCACGTAAGATCTAATAGCTGGCGTTTTCGTAGCGAATCTACACTACTAAGATCATATCTATTATTTCATTAGAAAAGGTAAATTCTCTTGATACCTATCTAGACATAATTATAACAAGTCTTTGAAGGACACTTGAAAATGCATATTGAAGAACGTGGAGTTAATTGATGGTAAATAAATGTTTCTGACTATTGAGGGGCTATGTTCCCTCCCCAAACATTGATAAAGCATTACAAATTTGCACGAATTGTTAGTAGCCGAATTACAAACTAATTATTACATACAAATACAAATGACAGGTCAAATTAATTAAGTCATACAAAGGTAGTCAGTATGGTAGAAATAAAAAAATGAACACATTACACACTATTACAAATAATCTCGGGACGGAATTAGAAGAATTGGGAGAATAATAAATAGTTACATGAAGACTCAGGTAAAGGGTTTTTCTCACACTAGCTCACATATACATATGAAGGTATTTTGCACTAGTCTTTGAGAGTAATGTCACGCTGAAACATCAGACTATATCGAGACGTAAACTTAATGAATAGTTTATTTTTGTTCGATTAACGTATGGGGCCAGTAAAATATCACTGGCACGTGCCCAAATCGTCCAGCCGGTAAGGCGCTGTATGCTGAACAGTTTACCGATCCCCGTCAATGTTAAAGACAACCAATGTACATCATTATCTTAGATATCATGGATAGACACATAATGCGGCGGTTTCACTTCGTATTTGTTTAATATGGTAAAACTAATATATGCTGTTGTCTACTGAGAGTATGTATTGTAGCCGGCTGGTTATTACAAAAACACAATCCAGGTTAAGTATTAACCTGGGGGTGTACCTTCGATGCAAGATAGGATGCCACATCATTCCCATGCTTTTTACACGCCTTCAATTGACCGACTTCCATACATTCAGGTCGAGATAATATGTACTTAGAAAATACCAAACTTAAGCAATAAATTGCTAAAATCTAATTTAGAGTAGGACTGATAGCGTATGCCTTACAATAGTGAAAGTTCAACTACATTATTCCATTTAAGAGTGTGTGATCAAGTCCTAGAATTCCGAACTCCTCTGAAGTCCTTCGTGGGGAAACCTGATGTAATCTTAAGGATTTAGAGCAGTAGCTCGTTATGAATTATCAAATATATCTATTTCTGCCTGTCTCATATATCTAATTTTTTTGCTTGAAAGGGTTGGTGATTCATTTTCGTGATACAAAGAAGCTTTCTAGGCGATGGATTAAAAAGTAATTCTGCAGCCATTCGCGTCTAGCCAGAGGGTACTTTGTGTATTAGGGGATAATACATAATGGCGTGAGGAGGCTAGAAATGAGAAGAACAAAGGGAGAGGCCAATCAATGACCCAGTGAGTGTGCACAATCCGCTTAAATTTACTTCCGAAAGCAATAGGCAACTATCAGCAATTGGACAAGCCTCAGATAAGGCAATATTGAGATCGAAAATAGGAGATGGTTAAACCCACTACAAAGTCTTCATGTCAAAATACCTGCAGTTCATATGAGCTTAAATGTCTTACGTTGTCAATAATATTGAATTGAACATGTACTTATAATTCCAATTCGAATTGTTTGTGAAGTGTGTTTAACTACGTCACTTTGCATCAGTTTACTCACTAATTCAAAACTCGCGTTATCGACTGGCCTAGTTAGTACTCGACTAACTTGTTAGTTTGTTTGATGTTACAACGTTATTTTGTTCATTTAAGATTTTAATGTGTCTATTTATAAATCCAACAGAGTTTCTATGCACATCTTTCTGTATGACACACAATAAGGTAGCATTTGGACTCAATAATGTGAATAGTGTCGGCTTTATTGATACTCGTTTATTGTCGTAATAAACATTAACACTTTCAATGGTGTAAAAGTCGTAAAAAAATGCGTGTCTGAAATTTATTGCCCACTCACTATGTTCTGTGTTTGCTAACTGCCTGAATTATTTCGAATTAACATAAGTTAATCGAAATTTCAAGGAAGAAAGCTTTGATCATGAAGAAGGTAGAGGAGACTCTCAATATTTCTGTTTAGTCAGATTTATCATCAAACTACAGATCAACTTACATTCTGACTTAAAATTTTGCTTAATTCACATCAATTCCAAAATATTGGTTTCATTACTTCGAAAGACCAAATCGTATGTGTTTAGAAAGTCGACGTAGTTGACGTTATGTTCTCTACAGCCAAAGTGGTTGTATCGTTTCTGAAACTTGTTTTTACTTTAAGGTTTTCGTGGTTTTGGAATTTTTCATACTCTAAATTTTATTTATAAGGCCAATGAAATATCAGTGAGCTCTAACTAGATTGTCTATCAAACTGTACTGTTCCCGCATTAGACAACTCTCATATTAAACTTCCGATTGTCATCGTTAAAATTAATACCTTTGTTCATAGCTACTAGGTTCTTCGATCAAGCTCTCATAGTACGTCATATGGAATGGGTCAATCTTCCTAGTAAGTGATTTTGTTTGGATTTGGTTTTTTGAAAGCGTTTACTGAGCTGACTGATGCTGCGTCTTTTGGTAAGAGATTCCACTTATCAAGCAATAAATTTTAAGATCAGGACTATATAATTAGTTGAAATGGTTTCAGTAGGACAATTCAAGTCTACAATAATTTCTTTTCTAAAGGAGTTTTACATTATGGACATTCATCTTACAGTACAATATCACTGCCCCTATGTTTGCAAACTAAAACTTGGCATTCAATCGGTAGCTAAATGCTTTTTTTCATTTGAAGTTGTTTTATTAATGGGTATACTTTTCTGCAATTTTCGTTTAATTGAACCAAATTACTCACTATTTTACTTTCGTTTTTCATTGTTCGACGTAAATGTAGCATTTTATTCAGTGCGCTCTCGTGATATTAGCAATGTGTGAAGACTCTTGGATTAATGAATCTAATATCAAGGACAGAGATTCTCTTATTACGTTGGCTAAGATTCAGGAGCAAGCTGAGCGATTTAATGATATGGCGTGTGCTATGAAAAAAGTTGTCGAGATATCAAAAACACTTAATAATGAGGAGCGAAACTTGTTTTCAGTGGCTTATAAAAACGTAGTTGGGTGTTGTAGATCAGCTTGGCGTGTGGTTTCAAACATTGAACAGCGATTGGATGACCAGAAGAAAAAACAAGCAGGAGAATACCGTAACACTATTGAGAAGGAATTACAAGCTGTTTGCCAGGAAGTTTTAGTAAGATTTCTAAGTCTTCCTGACCACATCACCTTAATAGGATTTGTTACACGAATCACTACTCAAAAGTGAAAATACAGCTGAAGGAATCGTGTTTTATAAGAAAATGGAAGGTGATTATTATAGGTATTTAGCTGAGGTTTTAACTGGCGACAAACGTGCTGATGTTGTAAAACATTCAAGGGAAGCTTATCAGGCAGCAACGGAGAAGGCAAATAGTGACCTACCTCCAACTCATCCAATCCGTCTGGGTTTAGCTCTAAACTTCTCTGTGTTTTATTATGAAATTGAAAACAATCCAGAAAAAGCATGCTCAATTGCTCAGACTGCATTTAATGAATCGATCGGGCAGTTGGACCAACCTGAAAGTGGTTCCTTCAAAGATAGTACACTTGTAATGCAACTTCTTCGTGATAACTTAACTGTAAGTTGCTAATTTACAATAACAAACCTTTTTCAGTTATGGACGTCTGAACGTGAAGCTGCTCAGTAACATAGAATATCAGTGGCTACTTTATTTTTACTTTGAAGATGTAATCTCAGAAATGCTCTTTTCACTCACTTAATAACGTATGAACAAATTTATTGGTCACTTTAATTTAGTCTCTTGAATAAATTATGTGCCAATTATCGTCATTATATCATATGGTATACCGATTTCAATGAATATTTGTGTAAAATTCAACTGTAAGACCATTCTTGCTAATGTTCATGTCCGTCCGTTCAACTAAGATGAATGGCTGCTTTATCAAATAAATTGCAAATTCATTGAGTCTATATTTCACTTGGTTCATATACGTTATTAATATGTCATGTCTAAACAGTAATGGTTTTATATATTTACATATGCAGTGTTTCACATTAAACATATATAAGTAACTAGAAGTTGTTATATCTAAGTTTGAACTCGGAAAATTTTCTCGACGCACAAGGTCAGTCTAGACTTTATTAAATAAAACTACAGAATGATGTCAGAGTTCCTCATAAAACAATGAAAACCATCTATTTGGTCACAGATACTGAACTGCTTTTCAAGTAAACATCTAAACAGTCGATATTTAAGTGTAATGGTGATACATAACATTCGAAAGTTGAGGACGTTTTTGATTGGTCACCCAAATAATGTCGTGTATTGATGAAATTAATGTTGTTCTCTGTTTTAAGTGAGGTTAGTTTTGTGTGTCGATCGTCGATTTAGGTATTATTAATGGACTATCATTTGCACTTAGATTTTACTGAGTCTGAATTCGCTTTTTATCATTTTCGACTAATAAGTTCTACATTACAGAAGAGGGATGTTTTGACATGGTATGTTGTGATATCAGTAATTCTGTTAATGATTCATACGTATGACTTTTGTCACGCAGTTCTGAATAGCGTCCACTCCCGTCTCTTTTGTCACATGTTTATGATAGTGAAGATCCAGGAATATTAAGCACTCTAGTAATTAAAAAACATAAATATCACATATTTCTTTGGTTATGAGTTCAGTCACATGATGATGATGTTTTAGCCTATGTAACATTTCACTCAACTGGATCCAAGTTTACACCCTCACAATGTCACACACTGTTTTTGCTTAGAACCGAACAACATTATTTTACTGTGCCGCATAATAGATTTATTTTCTATCTTCACTCATTGCCATCTTGTTGCTCGATAATCCTTAATTCATGGACAATTCATCTAAACGACTGTCCTATATAGAATATTGACAAGCAAATAACTATGTTCTAGTGGTATTACAAGCTATCACTTGCACAGTGCGTTTCAGCGTCATTGTTTAAGAACATTATAAGCTAGTTATACACACTTACTGCTTACTTATATCAATCTGCGATGTATACAATTGGTGGTTTGATCAGTCATTTCATTTAGACCAACCTAAGTTAGGAAGCAGATAAGGGGTTTTTGTATTTAATTAATTAAGAATCAAAGCTGCCGGGAAGGATTCCGTTAAGCATATATTGGACGTATCACTTAGTCAGCAGTGTATCTTTTATTGAGGCTTTATGGTTTAGGATAACTACATTTACATATAAATCTATGTGCAAGTTTCTCTTGTTAGGAAACAAAACCAAATATATACTAACGTCATTATCTACCCCTTATCATTGTTAATTGGGTTCTATATGCGTATATGAAGTAGATTGATAATCAGTTCACCTTAGAAATCTAGGTTAATTTATTCATCAGATACGTCTTGATAGTTGACTGCGATATTTTTTAACGCTGGCTCTTGTGCGAAACGAAAGTGATCAATTTCCTCATTCTTTAGTTCACTCAGTTTAGAGGGAAGTGTTAAATATTGATTATTACTTAATTCATGAAAGCAATTTCTAATTGTAGGCAATTATCATCTCATAGCTCTGTGTTTTTTATATCTATTTTCAAGTAGTCTTAAAATCTACGATTGTCATAGTCCATCTTATCAGTTTCCAGACTCCATCTTCAGCTGACTTCACATAAGCTTATATATACATATTATTAGTAATAACCGTTGAACAGAAACCACTCAACAAAATTAATTCATATTATTTTGCTACAGTTTTTGTTTCAACTTTATTCGAATTTATAAGGGCTACTAGCTGTATAAAATTAACTAAAGGATTTATTAAATTCATACAGAGGAAGTGGCCGAGTGATTAAATATGTAAATGTTTTCAAAATGTTTATTTTAAAGTATGGTGAAATTTGAAATTTGAACGACTTAATAAGGGATATAAAAAAGTAGTCAAAGAACTCCAAATATAAAAGCTTTGGCAAAACAACAGCTATTCTTGAAATTGTTCAAAAGAAACCATACCACAGTACATACTGAAAGCTGAGATTTTTTATGGCATATGTAACTATTTTTAATATCATTTTAAATAAAAAAACGAGTATTATAAATTGTCCATAGTAAGCAACAGAGATGAAAATTACATTTATTAAGACCGTTAGACATTTTTCAGCATGTAAAATAAGTTAGTATATTTACTGTGTAATGCAATTTTATTACCACGGTAAGCGAAGGCCAACTGATAACATGAATTCAGTTTTAACCTAAAAGAGTAACTATCGTTTAAACAAATCATGATTTTGACCAAAAAGATGTTTAGTAAAAAAATACTTGGATACCAATTTCTTTCAATGTTTACTTTCTCGGGTCCAAATCGATAAAAAATGTTAATGGTTGAAGATCCTGACTGATGCAAAGTAAAATCGGTCGCAATAATTGAAATTTATAATCTTGATTTTTGTGCATTGTAAATAGTCCTTGGTATTGTCCGTCAATTGTCTTTCTACTGTTTCCCTTTCTATCCCTTGGTTGGTATAATAGGTTTGTAGTAATTGTTGAGTGTTGTAGTTTACATCGCGAATTGATCCAAATTAAGCACCCATTGATAACAAAAAATAGTGCACTGCTATTTATTTGTATTATGAAACCTATCAATAACAGTGTGCATCCATGACCATATTAGGGACTGAACTCACGGCTTTCAGGTCTCTTGGACAGCCTTTAACCTTTAAACTATTGATTTGGTATCCACCGGTTCACAACTGCAACTTCAATTAATCCATGGTATTACTCAGCCATCTCTCAGGATCATTGTTAGGTAACTGCCTTGCACTCGATACGGTGGAACACCACTGGTCACAACTTTTCACTAGAACCCTTTGAATTACCTTTGCAAATTAATCAATTATTAGTGTGAGTTTGTGTAAATTATCGAGTCGTGAAGTTTACATCACAAAATAACTAGGTAGTTTGGGGACGAAGACTGTCACTGAAGTGCACCTATTTACACTACCATAAAACAGTTGTCCAGTGCTTCCTTGTTTTTGTAATTGTGACTAACTGCTTTTTGACGAAGTTTTGTTCTCTGAGCTGGATGGTTTGGTCGTGGAGCTTTCATTGTTCTTCTGAACGACATCATCAGCACAAACTAACTGCACACGGTTGTGATATTTTACGTTAGTGATTAAGTAATGTAAAATAGCCACTGGGTTAAACGGTAACTTTATAATTGTCTCGTCATTACAGAGAAGATATAAGGAAATTGATTCATTTGTGCTGGTAAATTTAAGTACGAAACATTTACTGATCAGTTCGAACAATAGAATCAACTTGAAACAATTTGTAAAAGTTTCTTCAATGATAAGTGATTTCTAAATAACACTCTATTTTCTCCCTTACGCCGATAGAACACTAATTTGCCCTAGACGAATATCTGCACTAGATAACCTCCCAGTGTCTATTCTAAAGGACACCAACACAATTCGGATCAAGAACGATTGAGTGTATTTCCACGCCAACAAGCGATAACAATAATAATAGGGGTAAGTGAATATATGACCCATCTAATACCTGTCAGACTATCTACTAATCTGACTACGTAGACAAATCATCATTTTCCTCGCTCACACATCGGATTTGTCATTTTCAAAAAAACTGACTTCACAATTAATACATTTAACTAGTATGTTGGAGGTTAGGACCTTGGTCCGCTTACTTTGTTTTAGGTTTACGGGAGTAACATCACTACCTTTCACGTCTAAAATGTGGTTCAGAGTCAAGCACATAAACTTGTATTTCGATAAACGAGTTAGGTCACTGTGCTTAGAAGTTTCGTTATAATTTTGTGTTTATAAATTTCTGCGAAATATCTTATCCATTAAATCGCTTAATATTCAATTTAGTGATGGTTAGATTTCAGGTCTATAACTGATAAAAACCGATGTTTGAGTGTTAGGTCTTTAAATATTTTCCACCACCATTAAAAATGTTTCTTGACCATAAATTTTTTTCTGGTAGAATTCATGTCAGTAATGTCTACATGAATCCGTGTAAATGATCAGTGATATAAATTTTAGCCTTCAGTCTCTGCGTTCAAGTTTCTACGTCTAATCAACATATGGACGGTCCTATCGATTTTCTTGTAGTCTGTTTGTGTAAAGCTGATAATTTTAGTGATCATTTATGAATATATATCGATTAGATTTATTAGAATTATGCCTTCATTTCTTGTGTGTTGTAAGAACTACTTGTCATGTTTGCGTTGTTCAAACATTGCGTCTTTGACAAAATGGGCTATAATTGAATCTGTTTTCTTGGAGAAGATTAAAGACATATACTTAGAAAACATAAAGTTATGATTTTCCTTAATGCTACAGTTTTCTCCCTTCGTCCAATGCATGACTTGGTGTTAGTTCAAAATTACTTTTAAGCTATCCAACTCTCAAGATTGATGATATATTTTGCTGATAAGTACCAAGTAACATGAAACTTAGTCTTAGAGCTACCTCTGGTTATCATTTAACTGTTCGACATCAAACGAAGAGCATTGTTGTTTCAAGTTATTCAGATTTGTTACTGTGATTTGGTTGGTCTGAATTTCCTCAACCCTAAGGACTGGACAACGTAAAAAAGTATAATGGAATTATCATTTTTTTTGGCATCCAATCGAGTAACTTGTTAACTAAAATAAAAAAATCATTCTATTATCTTGTTCATAGTTATTAATCACTTATAAACTGTAATAACGTAATAATTTTTGGTGTTTTTAACACGTACTTTAGTAGGTGGTCATTGGTCATTATTTTTCTAATGATGAAATGATCATTAGATTTGATTTATGGATTATTGAATCGATTGATTGATTGAATGTTTCAGTCATACATAGTCCCTTTTGATATCAGGTCATGTGGAATGAAAGTTCTCTAAGGGACAACACATAAATGTTTGAATTCATATGTATGGTATTAAAGAGACGGAATAAAGTTAAGTTTTACTGAAAATATCTATTAGAAATGCATATCATTATATGATTATATCTGATTGATAATTATTCATAATTTGAATGTAATGAAACTGCATTTTGATTATGTGATTAGTTCTG